CGGCTTCCTGGATTTTTGTCATGTTCATATACTGCAGTGGCACACATGCAAAAAGACACATAGGGAAATCGCTCAACACACACGATTCTTGTACACAGGGTTATGAGAACAAGTTTCGGGTCCTCAACCAGCGAGGACAACTCGTAGAAGAGCCAGGCAAACTTGCAAAAGTCCTGGTCCAAGAGTTTAACCAGCATCGCCTCGAGCTGTCTCCCGCACTCGGCGTCCTTGGACAATGACTTCTCCGCAACAAAGTGAGGGCGTACCAGGACCAGCAGCATCTTCATTCCCTTGTTCCCAAGATCCGGTAGCAAGTCCCTCTGGGGCTGGTGAAACTCGTTGTAAAGCTTCTCCTTGTCCGACTCCGACAGCTTGTGGATGTTCCTTGCATGGTCCAGCCACGTGTCGAAATCCAAGTCCTCAAACATTCCACCTGGATGCCACAATCGCACAGGATTTTAAGGTGCAGGGTCTTAGCTATGTATATATATATATATAACAGGCCCTTCGTCCTTTCTCTCCATATGCATTGACGTTTACCCTATTTGGCATAGCCGGCATAGCTACGGGAATTCCTCCATTTCGTGGTCGTTGTCCTGCTCCTCCAGCTTGTCCTGCTGGTGCTGGAAGTGCTGCTCCGGGTCCTTGTCCTGCTGGTGCTGGAAGTGCTGCTCCTGGTCCTGGTCCTTCTTCCGTGAGGTACAGGTCCGTCTCCGTACAATCTCAAGCGGAAACTCATCTCGCTCAAAGCTTCAATCCACCGAGGCAGGTCCATGTCCCCGTCCGGGTACTCCCAAACGTGCTTGGCACACATCCGGTCCTTTGTTTGACACAAAAATCCCCGCCCGGCCACACAGTATATATATGTAAATATGTAGCCAAGCATCCAGGAAGAAAGTCGTCCCTTCCACAAACTTGGGAGGCTCCTTGTACACGACTTCAGCTGCCCGGACCATCACGGCCAGGTACTCCCCGTAGCACACCTCCGGCTGCGGCCCAAGCACTCTCCTCCATTCCTCCAGCAACAAAGTTTCCACTTCATCTGCCCGCCACGAGACATGTTTCCTTCTACAAGGGCCGGGGGCACTTCAGTAATTCAATGCTTGATCCCGAGATGGCTTCTCACATGCAGACAGATTACGAAGTTGTGCACACAACACCGACTCGGGAAAAAGGGCCATCCGCCCGGGGGAAAACAAATAAACTATGTACAGACTACACAGCGCAAAATCTATATACATACACGCAGCATCCTGAAATCCCTATATACACACCGCAGGGGCCATCCACAGCCCTCGTGCACAGAAAATCTAACTGTATACATATACACACAGCATCCTGAAATCACTATCTACACCACACAGGGGCCATCCAGCCCAGCGGCACACAAGAAAGCAAGCAAGCACAAACATTTTTTTCGCGGCACAAACTTCAGGCGAGTCCTTTGTCCTTCAAAAACGAGCTTCTTCTGAGCCTTCTCCTGGTCCTTTTTTTTCTGGCCGTCGCTCAGCCCTCCTTCTTCTTCTCTCCCTTGGCTCGGACATCGAGCTTGCCCCGGACGCCTGCTATGTCCTCGTTGATGCCCTTCATCACGAGTACCTGCTGCTGCAAAAATGCATTGACCTTGTCGAAGGTCACCTCGCCGGGATAATCTTTCTTCGGAAGCTCCTGTGCGGCGAGGGGGGTGTGGGGTTGCTAGTTTTGG